GTCAAACGCTGTCGTCTCAGGTTCATATTCGTGCATTTGGACGGGTGCCAGCACTATCAGGGTACCGTACGTTTCCTAGCAACGTCTGCATCTCAAGACTGCCGGCCTACAACCTCACCTGCGTTAGATAAGGACAACGAATGTCATGTTAATATTTCGGACACAAATGAACCATTTTAGCCGCTTCAGGAAGTGCTGATAAATCGTTTCTTTGAACTTTTACAATTAGAATAGGCACACATTTCCTTATAAAATCATCTTGCAATAGGGCCATGTGCTCACGACATGCGCCGAGCGGTAACGCTAATGCGCCGAGCGGCAACGCTACTTCAGTTCGAGGCGAGTGTCAGTTGCAGAAATAAAAGACACTACGCTTGCAAAGAGCGATGAGCAGCTTGGCAGCCATACTACGGATAAAGCGTTAGGTCTAAGACAGCCTGCTTTTTTGCCAAGCTCAGCTCGGGGACATCATGGCAGAGTGTTTGTGTTTGGCCTGATAAGGTGCGTCATTTCATTTAGGCATTTGACGGCAGTACCTCTCGATATATTATACTCGCCATGCAACATGTTTTACCCTATTCACCCTGTTGTTCTCACCATATAACCAGCATTGTACTCTCCTGTGCAACGATAGATTGTACTTAATGCTAAATGACGACGGCATTGGTGTCCGTGTCTGGATCGGCGAGATACCTGCCGAGGTTCCGCTGGCATCTTGACACCAAATCTTGAAACTTGATAGACGTCGAAGCTGCGAGATGTGTCGATTACATCATGTTAGCAATGAGTACAATATGGTGTAGATAATGCGAGCTAAACAAAGCGAATTTTTGTCCGCTGCTTGCATGAAAATGCAATGGATTGATAGTTATAGGAACGGTGGAAGACTACAGCGTTGCTAAATTATGAAGTGTCTGCTTCATATGGCAGAGTGCTTATCTGGTCTTTTTGCACAGAAAGCTGCACATAAAGGACACAGAACATAGCCGTACAGGGTACATTGTGCTAGGGGCTCAACAAAGTTAAACTTATTTGAGAGTGGATAGTTTGAGCTAATACTGATTCTGATGGACCAAATATTGCTGTTAATGGTTTTTAACCGTCAGACATGACTATTGAAGGAAATCAGTTTTAATTTAAAAACTGGAATTTCATGCTCCATTCAATGTTTCCTTCTACGGAACTCTGTATGGTGCTATGCATCAAATTTCATGAATGCTGGACCTTTATACATCATGCGTTGCTAAAAACATTTAAATTAATTTGCACTCATTTTCGTAACATTCTGTTGGCAATCACATATTCTGTTCATGTAAACAATGACAGCTTGAATGCGTTAAATGGAAAATCCGTCATGTGAATCGACTTCAGCCCACAATCTGTGCGGGGACATCATGCAGATATCGAGGCCGTGCGGAGCTCTAGAGTTTTCAGATATAGAGAACCGGCCGCGACCCGTTCGTGACCCAGCCCGTGGCCGTGGGGCCTCACCGACCCGTGGCCAACACCGATATGCACAGCGTTCGTGACGCGCAGTGTCCACCCGTCAATCATGACTCGCCCAAATGACAAGCGTCAAGTCTCCGAGGCACCATCAAATGCACATTAAGAGTTGATTGGAGCACTCCGAGCTGACGAGGACTGTAGCCCTGCCCGATGGCTGTCGGACGACCTCGAGAGCACCACCCCTGGGACGGTGGGTGCGCCGGCCGCCGCGCGAGCGTGCGCTGTTGGCGGGGCCGACGCGTCCCGCTGTGCGGGCCGGCCCCAGCCCACCGCCCGGGGCGACGGGGTCGCGGCGCTGGCTGAGCGCGGGTCAGGCGCCACGTCACTGGTATTCCCGCGCTGTTCCCGGGGGCAATCGTGCACCAGCGACTGCCGCCGGCAGGCTCGGTCGGCAAAGCGGGTCGATATGCTATGTTTAGTGGGCGTCTGTGGCCGCGACAGGCTGAAGCTCGCGCCGGCGGCTCTGGACGGCCTCGGAGCGGTCGATGCGGTCGGCACGTGCTGTGCTTGTGAGCCATTGCCCAGCCTGGAAGCGGCGCGTCATAATACGCCGAACTGGGTCGGCCGTGGCGACGCTTAGTAGGACTGCCATGCGGCCTTAAACGGGTTGTGCGGTCTCCTTCCTGGAATGAAGTGCAGAATGTATTTATTTCCGCTGCAAATAAGCCATAGCACTATGAGATCTTCACGATTGTCCAGAAAATCCGCTAGCCTGGTAATTATGTTGGCGTTGGAATATAGCAGTTTCCGGTTGTTTTGTAAGAAAATCGTACTTGATCTCGATTATCGTCCTGTACTACAATACGAAACACTTGATTTCATCAACACTTTAAGAGCAAATTACGTAGTCTTCGTACACAACAGCTGAATCCTATACAAGCACATCTTCACAACACGACAGTGATTTGCTGTTATCTTTGCTCATTTGATGTTAATAATTAGCTATTTGTTATGACATTTTAGAGATGGATGGCGCTGCGTCTGCTGGTACTGAAACAATTATCCGGCGGTGTCGCTGCTCATTTTTTATTTGTATACTGTTGGAACTATTTCTAGAAAGGAAAAGTTTCCATTGGACATCAGGGCGTACCTCGGTCAAGCCAGGCGTTTGGCTGAAGTTACATCTCATCTGAATCTGCTAATGTCGGGCCCCCTGAGTCGGCATTAACTGCACTCCCGCAACTCAATCTGCTCGCCTCTGGCTCAACCCCCCGTGTCTTGAAGCTCTTTTTTTGCGTGCCAACGCGGCACGCGCCTCACGACTCAAAGAACATGAAAATAGCCTACACGTAAAGTCGGAATGCTTTTCGTGGAAGTGGTCGTCTTTCTAGTCAATGTCAATCTGTCGGACTGAAGGGCGCAGAGCTTGAACGAAACGGCTGCTGTCGGATTGGCTCAAATCACCCAATTTCCGATGACGAGTCTACCCAGTTATGTAGCGTGTCTGTCATTTATGCAAAGGCGTCTGGTGGCTTCCCGCAGGGGTGAGAAAAGGGCCTTTGCTGCAACCGACGAAATTTGGAGCCGTCTGAATTGCCACCCGGAGCCAAATCTTTCAGAAACCGTTGCGATATAACTCTTATTATGATAAATCACAAAACGAAGAAAATGTAATGTTATGTTGCATAACCATCAAGCGTTTTTGTTTCGGGAGTTCATTTGCGCTTAGGTATCATTTCCTGGTCATCAAACACTGAATGACGGTTAAAACTAAGCCAATAATATTATCAGACAAAGGCATACTTAACATAACCAGCTTAGAGGCAAGCATGGTTTCCTATTCAGTTAGGGGGAAGGGACTGTGCCTCTTAACCATGGATGTAGTTCCCTATTTTTTATAAACGTTTTTTACATTAGGTTTTACTTGTCACCATTTTTAGGGTTCAAACCCCCCAAACTTATTCCGAAAAACCACGCCCCTGCTCCCAACTCTGAAAGGAAAGTGAATCAAGTCTGCGGAGAAAACTGTTGTAAGCACATTTCAGAGGGAGGCTTAGCCATTTTGTTTCTTGTTCCCGGCCCACCCCGTCCCTTCACACTACGTATTTTGCAAAACTGAATCCCTGTAGCCCCACATTCACAGATACATGGTTCTGCAAGCACCTGAGAACAATATAAGTCTTGGTTTTGTGACGTCATCGTACAATCAACTGGAAGTGTAGGCGATCTTCACTATTTTCGCCTAATCATGACCCGTGCAGAACTCACACGTTCGTACATGATACCAATTATTCAGAGCAAAGCGCATGCAATATTGGTATCAACAGACGTACACGACATTTTTGAACACCTCTAGCACCTTCATTTAGATTTCCATGCAATATGATGACAATAACAAGGGTTCTATCTCACACCTGTCCACCAATCAGCAACCTAAGTCTGAGGTGTAACGGGCAATGTGAGAGGCCTACATCAGTGATTTTGTGGTGATTTGGCTTTTAAGGGCGCATCGGCATCGGGGCCATTTTGCTATGACTTTGCCAACATCAGTGATGTCCAGCCTCTTGCCTCAAAGCCACCGTTCCTCACCACGGCAGGGAAGCCTGGATGAATCCTTGACATGTGTCGATCCAACGTCCTCCGTTTACCTCTGAAGCTACAGCTCAGGTATCCTCAAACAACAATCCTAGATCAGCGGGATTTTAACGTTATTGCATTAAAGAGCTGACGATTAGCTCCGTTCTTCTAGCCAGTCAGCTTCTCCAAAACACGAACACAACCAACATCAGCCCACATCCTTCCGCTGAGCCCAGTTCATTACCGCGTTGCGAACATTCGAGCCCGCGTGTCCCAAATGACACGACGCTCTAAAGCTTTGCCTGGCAAATGGATCACGTACGTCGCACGATGCTGTGGCCAGCCACGGTCCTTACGACTAGTAATAAACCTAATTGTTTGGCATTTTATGCTGTTTAGTATGTGAAATGAATCTTGGCTGAAAAAATCTGTAAAATGCACTGGTCTGAGGGGTATGGAAAAATCGCTGTATCACCACTGATCTGTAACGTCAGCACTGATATAGTAAAGTTTGTAGCACATTTCTGGCACCTGCTAAAACATTCTGATTAAAGCTACCATGACTGGCAGCATCTTATGTCTCAACTTGCTCGTACAGCGAAACGTCAGCGTTTTGACATGTGTGCTACACATGCTCATACTGCAAGTCTTAACGAGCACAGACCAATACTAAGCGTTGAATTTCGTCTAGCGGAGATAGCCTGTTGTAACATGGTCTGGTCTGTCGAAATTTGGATGCATTTTTGCAGCATTGTCATCAATTGGCTTGCAGAAGTGTCAGTTTTGTCACCGATCATATCTTGTAAGTCAGAAGTTTTTTCACTTTTGGATTATCGTGCCGATCTGAAGTGTTCCGTGATTGTCAGCAGTGATGGACGGCAAGATGTTCAGTTTGTTTCACTCATAATGCCGCGTGACGCATGAAAGCCATCCTTTGCTCCACCTCGCCGCTGCGACAAAACGTCTCCCTTTTTCAGATCGTGCGTTCTTGGTCGTAAACAACGTGGAAGATCGAACCGTCATCTACGCGAACGAGGGCTTCAGCAAAATGACCGGCTTCAGCCGGGCCGAGGTGATGCAGCAGCGAGGCCTCTGTCACTTCCTGCACGGCCCAATGACGTCACGAACAGCGGTGAGTGGAGCCGCCGGACGCAAGCGAAGACGAACCGGGAGAAAATAACTTGCGGCGGCGGCCCGGCCGCCACCGCGGGCCTCCGGTTTCTGTTCTGACGCACACAAATGCGGCGCTTAATTCATGGATACACTTTTTGACTTTGTTGTGTCTTGGTACGCTCCAGCATACTGTACATAACAGTAAAAGGGAATGAATGCCCCACGTTTGAAGATATTGAAGCAATATTAGACTTCATGAAATCAATTGACTTATGACTGTTGGGATGTTTTTAAGAGGAAAGGACTGCTCTAGACAGAATAATTTCCTCGTTTTGTCAGTTTGCTCTGCAATACGTTATTGTTTAATTACGCCTTCGTACCTTGCACAACGTTGGCTGAGAGCCAATTGGCGGCGGTTATATCTGGAAATGGTGCTCACGAACGCCAGGTATGAACGACTCGACAATTATATTTCCCTTTGCCCAAATTGCTGCATGGGTAATAGAAAGCAGAATTTGAATGACGTTATGATGGCGTTATGGATACCAAGATGACCTTGAAATTGTCTCCCCGAAACGTTCTGCACATCTTCATGGGTGTGTAGATCGGAAACTAGAAGGGTTTAGGTCTTAAGAAGGGCAGGGCTGCAACTGCGCCGAATGATCCTTAATATGGTTATATCAGTCCAAAGCCTCATATAGATGCGGAACACTCCTTTTATGGACATGCATGTCCACTATTCAGGCTTGTTACATTTATCCTTTGTTCCATTTCCAACGACGGCCGTCTGGATATTAATAACGCATTCTCCAGTTAGTTAGCTTTATCTTTGGGCTGTTCCAGGACCAAAGATCATGTTTTCTATAGTGGCAAAAATTGCTCATGTTTGACACATTCCGGTGATAACATGCTTCGATTATCTCTTAAAACGAAACTTCATATTTAAAAACTTGATGAGATGCTCGTGTGTCAATTAGGTAGACAGACGCCAGACAGGGTTGTAGACGGTTTTACATATACAGTGATATCGCACTGTACGAAACATTAAACACGACGGCAGTGAACTGCTTAATGGCCGTGTACTGTTCAATGCCGTGTTCTGCCCAATGGCCATGCACTGCGGCCGCGTACTGCTCAATGGTCGTGTACTGTATGGCAGCCGTGTCGTGTGTGGCACGGCCGCCCCGGGTCAGGTTGCCGCCCTTCGGTCAGCTAATAGCTGTTCATTTCATGGCGGTCCGTCCAAACAGTGCGCCCGCCCTGAGATAGATCCCGCTGTAGTACCAGCCCAGCGATAGGAACCCATGCGATTTCCGGCTGGCTGCACAAATGAGGGCTTTGGTACTGTGGCACACCGTTGACGCACACCGATTACTTTTGAAAAGTCAGGGTGGACTAGAGTGAAAAACAAAATAGTACAGATTAGTTGTGTAGGGACGTGGAGACGTGCCTACACAAAAGTTCATGAACCAGAAAAGTGTTAGAATTGGCTTTTGCAACGCCAAAATTGAGTGAGTTTCGGCCGCACTTGGTCGATGCTCAAACCGAGCTTTCGTCTTTCGACGTGCCCCAATAAACGATCTCAAATGATGCCGAATCCACCCCGTGTAGCACTTTCATGTGATGCTACCAGAATGCCACCACTATTTAGGACGAGAAGACATGTTTCAACACACGCCCGGGTGGATGGTTGAATGTGAACGTGCCCGGGTGGGGTTCGGGGTTAGGAGACGATGTGACACCTCTGAGATCTCAAGACTCAAGAGAGTTAGAGTAACCCAATTCACAGGGTAGATAAAGATTTATTTGAACTCATTTGTATCGCATTTTGAGGTCCTTAGCTCGTAACAATCGGGCAAAATACTGTCAAATAAAGCCAAACTGCAGATCGGTGTTCGAAGTGACCTTGGGCCATCTCACGCAACCAGCCTTAATATAGATGCCTTCTCGGTGACCTTGCAAGCTTATGGGACCTCTAGATGGCAAATATGACCAAAAACCTTCGGGATTTTTTATACTTTTACTTGCAATCGGTGCCAAGCAGCTTCTGAACGCTAATTCTTATCGAGGTCATTTCAGGTCAGTGATCTCGCTCGACCTCCATGAAGTCCAAATAAGACGCCGGTTTTGTGACATTTTGATCTAGGAATTCAAAATAAGTGTCAAAAACTATGTCTGAAAGTTTCCCATACCTGCTTACCTGATCCAAGGTCAACGGAAGGAGACATTATCCTAATTGCAATAGATACGACAGTAGTAATAGCCTTGTTCCTCGGAGAAAACCAGGATAATGGAGATATAATTGGGTTGATATTTCGGCAACATGCCTGTATCGAAACAATAGCAGAAGTGTAGCATTTTCGATAGCACAAGTTTCGATAAAGGCATGCTGCCCGAATATCGACCCAACTATATCTCCATTCTCTTGTTTTTCTCCGAGGGATAAGGCTATTACCATTGTCTTCTCTAGATGAATAATGCTCCTCGCTGCTGCACTGAACAACTTACCTAATAACAATATTTTGATCTATCATTTTGAACCATTCCTGAGAAGGTGCCTTTGCTGACAACCGTGGCCTGACTTTGACTTGCCGTAGGTCTACGGTCTTATGATGTATGTCTAATTTTATATAAAAAGATCGTTCATTTAATTGTCCACAGCTGTACTAAGTTTGCCAAGCCTGCGCCGCACCGTCCGAAAGTTGTTTTGGAAAGCCTTTGGTAGGAGATCAACTTGGCCCCACCCTAACGTCTGGTAAGAAAGAAGATGAAGGCATGTTTTGTGGGCAACTTACAGCCCACTGGACAATTTTGCATAACCTAAAAGCAGTTCTCACAGGTATCACCTAGCGTTTTTGGTCCGATAGCAAGCACTGAGAGCTCACAAATTTTAATCTTCATAATGCTGTAAGTTTGCGAAACCGGGATGGCTTTCCGAATTTTCCTCTCCCTCCATGCGTTACAAGGCTGACGCGAAACACGTCTTCTGAGAGGGATAATCTTGATGGCTGTGTCGCGAGAGAAAACACGCGAGTAATACCACCGCAGTAATCTCATCAATTGTGCGCCGTCTGCCGTGGGCTTTGGGCTGAGAGGCCGTGACTTCTCTTATGGGGAAGTGTTTTTTGTTCTGTTTAGTAATGGTCTTCAGCCTGAGGATTTGTGAGGCCCCTGTGTGGAGATATTTAGAGCTCTGTGGTGATCTTCTGTGGACCTTATTAGCTTCTCTGCGAAGATATACGGGCTCCTTGTGCTCAGCAGGAGCTGTGCAGGGTTTGACCGGCGCAGGTGGGACACACGGCTGTTCTTATCCCGTAATCAACCTTTCACGAAGCAGAAACGAAAAATGGAAAGCAGCTCAGAACAAACAGGAAGAACACATCTTAAATAAATCTCCAACACGACGTTTGACGCGATGTCAGAGAAAGGCGAATTTCTCAGTTAATCTGAACCGACCCTTGGTTTGCTCCTCCACTGGCTCTGTGAAGGTTTGGCTGCCAAGCAGGTCATGTCTGAGTCATAACGCTACCTAGCAAGTAGCAACAACCTAGCTTCCCGCCGAAGAAAGCTCCTTTGCTCCTTTAGCTACGGCAGTTGGCCAAAATAATAGCTGACTACACGTTTGGTCATACCGCGGGTCAACAATCGTGAAATCTTACTGCCGAGAAAGCTTCGCGGACGTCCCAACGATAGCACGGCGGACGTGACTTGAGCCGCCCGTGAACCGGCAGCCCACCAGCTTAGAGCGCTCAAAGCGGCCTGATACCGAGCTTCCTGTAGAACAAAAAGACGGGGATAAGAAACCGCTTAACATGCCTAGACCTTGGCCATGCCGCCTTCTTCCACGGGTGCTTAGCCAGTGCTGTATGGATTTATGTGCTCTCCACCTGCCACGCCTGAATGGGCCCACGCCTTGGCGTCACGGCGGCTCGCGTGGGACCCTCCGACGAACATGAATCAGACCAGACGCGTTCGACGCCGAGCTGGAGTCCTCCTCAGCTCTGCTGATCAGATCCGCCGACTCGACATGGATCTCGAAAGAAGGGCTTTGAAAAGCTAAACACTTCAAGGGGTTTGCAGATGATGTCCACGAACAGCGCGATAGCAAAACAGTGCTAAAGCAGTTTGCCAGTAACGACTTTATCCAGGAGAACCGCAGATGGGAAACAGGGATGGGTTTTAGTGGTGTAGGCACGGAAATTATGACATTCGGATATTGCGGCCGTCGGTTATGGCGCTCAGAAAGGCGAAGCCTGGGTTGAGTGGATGAGCTGTGTCTTTCCACGTTCCACGTCATGGTCCCACGTCACCCCGAAATAGTATTCCTATATCTCGTCTATTTTTCAAATCGTCGTCTGTTACTGGGTTTCAAATCTATCTCTCTCACATAACAGGATGGAACAAGACATTCCAATTTCTCAATGACCTAAACGACAGTGACCGCGGCTTTAAAACTGTTACGACGCTTTGCTCGCCCCGCGGAGCGCAAGCAGGAGGCCCGACGGCTTTGACACTGTTAGATGAAGCTGTCCTGGACGGTGCCGTCAGCGTGGTGGCCCGCCTCCACAGCGCGCCGCGCGCCGCGCTGTCGAGGCGCGCCGCCGGAGCGCCGCGACATCGGCGCCGCGCCGCCAGCTCGTTTGTCAAACTGAGATTGCAGGCCGTTGTTGGCGGCCGTCCACCGGACGGCCCTGACTCAGAGCGCCCCGTTGTGTCGATCCGTCGCGGCTCGCTGACGGTGTCGGGCCTGGCCGTCGCGTGGGGGCTGACGGTGTCGGGCCTGGCCGTCGCGGCTCGCTGACGGCGTCGGGCCTGGCCGGTCGCGTGGGGCTGACGGTGTCGGGCCTGGCCGTCGCGGCTCGCTGACGGTGTCGGGCCTGGCCGTCGCGGCTCGCTGACGGTGTCGGGCCTGGCCGTCGCGTGGGGCTGACGGTGTCGGGCCTGGCCGTCGCGGCTCGCTGACGGTGTCGGGCCTGGCCGTCGCGTGGGGCTGACGGTGTCGGGCCTGGCCGTCGCGGCTCGCTGACGGTGTCGGGCCTGGCCGTCGCGGCTCGCTGACGGTGTCGGGCCTAGCCGTCGCGGCTCGCTGACGGTGTCGGGCCTGGCCGTCGCGTGGGGCTGCCGCTGCCGCCCCGGCCGGCCGGCGTGCCGTGCCGCGCCACAAGCCCGCAGTTCATCCTAGCCTCCAGAGCTGCTGATTGGTAACCTGATCTTGGGCAGGCCGACCGGAAGCTAGCTCCAATCGAACCGCTGCGTAATATATTGTGACATCGAAACCGTTAGTAATGTCGGCTTACCTGCGGACCTTGTGTTCTTAGCCTTCGTCAAGGCCACCAAAAGGTCAGCTGGCAGCTGAGTACCTCCCTTCGGTCATAGCACGGATGCCTCGCAGTTGTTAAGCCCGATAAATCTGGCCGACACTACACTGTACCATGGCTTATTACACGTATGTGTGCTTAGCATCAAATCCTCTCTTGCGTACCAGGCTATCGTCGATTGCATCGGATCTACGCTTGGGTTATCCCTTTGTTGTTACTGAATCCTAGATGCAGCAAGGGTAATATCGCTTCAGATAACACGACTAGGAAGGTATGGTTTATGCATAAAAGCAAGAACGGCATGCGTGCATGCAACATGCAGCAGCAGCATAACTCATGAAATGCATGTAAGTGGGCGAGCGGCAAAGTTTCATGCCGTTGGCTAGATATGCAGTCCGATCTTTTCCATGATAAGGCAACGCCATGGTGTGGGCGGCGTGATGCGCAGTACACAGAACTATGCTTTATGATGATGCCAAAACTTGCATCACCCACATTGAACCTCTATGTTATTGGCGCCATCACGAAAGAATGCGTGAAGGGCTGGCCAATCACAGAAAATGGTGTGACTAATTGAAACGTAACCGTGTCTTGACCGCAAGCTGTAGTTCGCGGTCCCAAATATTGGGGACGCAGGAACCTGGCGGGAGAGGGGGAGGGGTAGAGGCCTGAGCCATGGCTTTCGGAATATTTAACATTGTCCCCACGTACGTTGATTGGAAACCAACTTGGAAGGACTTGTTTTGCTCTCGTTTATGTTCCCATGGTCTGTATGCACAGGGGGTCTACCAAATGCTTTCTGCAAGCTTACGGGCAGCACCGACCACCCTTAACACCATTTTAGAGCCACTGAAAAGCTGTGATCGGATTTTGAACAGGCCGCCTCGCCTGCGGGAGTTGTCTCGGTGCCAAGCAGATCACGCAGCGCACCAGGCGTGAAGGCTCAATTGACTCGGCCCGCGGCTTGGAACACGGCCAGGCTGGTAACACAGGGCGTGAGGCGCTGTGCGTCCTGTTCCGAATGGTAATTTGGATGGTCGCCGTGGCTCACGCAAACCTTGGCCGAACCCGATAGGTGGTTCAACGGCATCAGCAGTAATGGGTGAATGGTTATTGGCCAATGCTGCCGAGCTTGGTCGTATCTGATTTGAAATGATGGATTTAACAAGGCTTTTTGTGATGTTTGAAAAGTATCTGGTCAAAACTGTGATAGCGACAATGCCATCACACAAAGCATCGAATTCCCGTAACAGGCAGACAGATGACCATCGCCGCAGGCAGTGTCCGATGAGATACAAATTTGTAACCCATTGCCAAAGTGGTGCGAGATGATTTGAGGAGAGTAATGTTCGCTCGGATACCCCGGGTGACGTTGTCTGTGTGTGAAGTGGCCGTGGCCAGAGCGACCCCTTCCGGCGCCCGTCCAATCACATCGAATGTCACGCTGCGTTGTATTCGCTGAGAAGAACGCTGTGCCGCAACCGTTGAGAAACATCTGCATAGTTCTCCGTGCCGCTAGACTCCCAAAATCGGTGAAATGATGAACATGCTCCTCAACCACGTCTTTTTAACATCGATGCCACGACCAGTGCGACTTGAATAGACAACTGGTTTAGTCTGGCTCTTTCATGATGTTTGCGAACTAAGATATCCCATGATTGTCAAATCACCTTCCCTGAATTTCAGTCTCGGCATGAAAGATAGAACGTATAGGAACGTTACAAAATATAAAAATTATAACTGTGCTCGCGAACGAAAGTTGGCCATGTTGAGACCCCGTACAATATAATGTTCATGGTGAGGGTCACTGAGGGCCAAGGTTGCGAATGGAGTTGGACACTCTTTGTTAAAAATTTAGATGTTATGAAGATTGATCTTATGAAGAATGATCTTACTTTTTGCTTCCAGAATCTTTTAATCGTGTGGAGGTAAACATAACTGCGCTTGACATAATCTGGCCAGTCGCCCAAGCGATATGTCTGAAAATAACAGATGTTTGTGGTGCAAAGTACGGTCTGTAATAGCTACTGGAGTTTGGTTAATATTACAATCGGCAGAACCAAACCTATAAAACAGTAGTAATAGCCTTATTCTTTGGAGAAAAACCAGGAGAATGAAGGTAAGGATGGGTTGATATTTCTGCAACATGCTTTATCGAAACAATAGCAAAAGCTATTGCTTTGATAAAGGCAGGTTGTCGAAGTATCAACCTACATATATATATATATATATATATATATATATATATATATATTTCCATTCTCCTGTTTTTTCCGAGGAATGAGACTATTTCTATTGTATTATCGATGTGAATAATGTTCCTCGCTAGTGCACTGAACAACTTATGTAATTCCAAACCTATAAATATTCAGACGAAGATGTATGGAATGAGCACGATGACGTTGAATACTATATTTCTAAAAAATCCTCATTCTTCCCACGAATTATTCTGTCTTCACGTTTAATATCCTGAGGCAGGTAACATTCTTGTGAAGCTTATCAAACCTGTGCCAATTTAAAATTGGCAAAAATCAATAAAAGCATCTAACCTCTTTCTGCGACGTACGATTCGAAACTGACCTATACATAAAATAACGAGATGGGAGGTTGCGCGACATTTAGTGTCTGCTCCGTCCGTCATACTCATCCTTGCTCCTCCGGTGCGCACCCTCTCTTCTCTACGCCAACGTGCTCAAACACACATGAACAGACGGTCAACTCTGGCTGTTTATATGCACTTCCAGACGAAACTAAGGATAACGTGCAGCTGGTGTTCCTCAGGAATAATGCGTGATTCGGAAAATTGAGACACCTGTGTGTGCTGTTACAGGTGGACCAGATCCAAGAAGCCTTCAACTCAGGCGAAGAAGCCCAGATCGAAATCCTGCTATACAAAAAGGACGGTGAGTAACTGGGACAGTGAGTGCCAACTGCTCTCAATGAAATTCGTCAAAGTTGCACCATTTGAACTGTGTTGCCACATGACACAACAACATGAATTTAAATGTTAGTGGCTCACTCTCTCGGACATGAACGAGACAAGCGCAAAGTCGTTTGCGCTGAGTGCGTAGACTGTCGTAAAGGAAAAAAGCACGACTAGAAAGTTATGCTTCCTCAGGAGTGCATTTGGGCGTGAATTTAGAAACGTTACTTTTTGTCGAAATACCGAAAAGGACGTTGGCATTGCTAGAAGACAACGTGATGCACAAAGATAAAATTATATTCTTTGTTCCTGCTAATGGTTTGGAATTGCAATGGAAGATTTTTATCGCGGTGGTCTAGGTCTCGCACTGATGAATCTCCAATGTTTACATGGGCAGGAGGTAGTGGGGGGGGGGGGGGGGGGCGTATACCAAGCCCGGAATCTCGTCTGCTTATTGCCATTATCACATGGGATTTGGTACAAGAAAAATCCTGCGAGCGTTGGAGAATAATAAAATAATCCAAGGCCAACAGGTATGAATCTGCCTGTACCTTAGTTGTTTGTGCTTATATTTGTGGCGTATGCAAATTTATACGAAATCTTTGGAACAATCTCAGCTATAATGCAGGGGACAGTGCGTAACCTGGTGAGGTCAATACTGCGGTCAGTGACAATCACGGAAACCACATTCATTTCTACGCGGTACATTCGTCCCAGATGTAAGTCATAGCATCATTCTCTAAGCGCCATACGGGCTACCAGGCTGGCCTAGTTTTACCAATTCCCCCCCCCCCCCCTGGAAGGATGAAGCTTATCTCAAAACTTCACATGCCGGGGTCTCAGCCCGTCCACCAGCGGCACGCCCTGGCAGCGTTCCACTCGGTCCGAGCTGGCTTCGCCCTACCGAAAAAATTGCGCCGCTGGCGGACGAAGGCTGTTTCCGTCCGTTTCCGCTAGATGAGGAACATCATCTTCCTTTTCGGATTCTGGCATACCGTTCTCAGTTTCCTTCAGGAGATGCCTTCCGTGTGTGAGTTTGGCGTCCTTACTGTCCGCCATGGTGTGCTCGTGGATATCCGCAGCGCCGACCTGTAACTCGGCGACGGGACGCGCGCGGCCTCCAAAATTACAAATAATCTGTGGCGGAATTGCGACGGCTTTCCATACCGTAGCTGACAACTATGATTTTTGTCTTCCCCGCCTTTCAGGAAAAACGAGGTATTAGCGCTCCTTTGCTTTCTCCTTTCCCCCAAGATTTCTGAATGGCTGATACAGGACGCCATTGGGACAAGGAATATTCGTTATCAATTAATCATAAGTACAAAAACACATACCATTTGAAAAAGGTGGCACGTGGTCCTGGCTCCGCTTCTGCGTGCGCGCCGCATTGAGGTGGTGGGCGCGTGACTCGCGCGGCGACAGGGCCGGCCGGCCGCCGAGCAGCTGTCGGGCCGGCCGGCATCCGGCGCCGCTGCCGGCGGCCAGCTCGCGCGCTTGTCACGGAAATGGCGTGCCCGCCGCCCGGAGCCCGACGTTAGCCTGCCTTGTCTGACATGGCGACTTCGTGACCCGGCCGGCCGCCGATGGTGGCCGCTGACCGACCGCGGCTCCGGCATGGCGACACGCGCGCCCTCGTACTGTCCTCGCCACGCGGGACGCGTGTGGTACCCGTATTATCGCTTTTGAAATGGTGTGTCCTTGTCACTGCAGATGGATTGCTTGCGCTGCCCATTTTCATGCACGGTCCATTTAATATCTTCGGGATCTATGTCCTTCATCTGTGAGCCCGGATTTGCTGTGGGTGACCTATTTTCCTGAGCCGTCTGCCGTAACTTCCGACAGAATGACACAAGTACACTAAATTTTTCAAAACACTTAAATGAGCAACAGTTTCATAGGCGTCACACTTCGGCTGATCAGGTCATGTCAAGATGCTCATGGTATCGCGATGATGTGTATCATTGCCATTCATGTTTTTATTATTGCTTGCTATGCCATGACTTCAGTCACGGCGATGGGTTACGGTGCAATGCGATGCACTTGGTTATTGAGGGTCAGGGCGGCGACCTTGATATTATGCGGGTACATCATCGTTGAACAATACACTAATATATTTCCGCCTTGATACATATCTTAAGACGTGCTCGGGAGGGGGCTCAAATTGACCCCCTAAAGGTTTTTCCAGAATGGCTTCCAAACGGCGCGGTGTAGCCGCACCAAATTTTGCATAGCCGTGGACTGAATAGCAGATTGCTTGGTATCAAAAATTTAGTTGCACTTTGTAAGGTCGCTGACCTATGCCAGGTCAAAGTCAGGCCATGGTTTCAGCGAATGCAATTTCTAGGGAATCGTTCAATCTCACGTAACAGCGGAGTTTTAGACGAAGCCATACATCTCTGAAATACTTTCTTAGGCAACACAAATATTAAGTGAGCAAATTATGTTGACTTAGGTCAGGTATGAAGGTCAGGCCAAGGACGAAACCAATCTGTTTTATTACTCTAGGGATTGCTGCATGAGATAGCTTTCTGGTGCTCATTTCGATTTATTGATGGCAGAATCCGCATTATGCATCTTCTATGAACTTTTTAGAGGTCAGAATACGTCATCGACTCAAGATGACCCAGGTCGATATTTTGTTTTTAGGAACATACTGCCTGGCGTAATCTTTGTTGCTTATTCAAGTGTAAAACTCAAAGCAGTCTTGTATGATCTTAGCCACCATAACCTTGAAAAGGTCAAACAAGGCCACTTAAATTAAACGAACTTATGACATCTTGCTTAGCAACAGCTATCTAGGATCGGGGGGCACTTTGAAGACCAACCTGAAATTTGACCCCGTTTGACCTTATTTGAACCCGAAGGTCATGACCTTGGAGCCTCAAACTTTGACCTAAGTGATTTCACATACAGGTTAACTCACCCAATAAATTTGGTGTTTCTAGCTTTCCTAGTTTTTGAGATCACAGGGGAGTCAAATTGATCCCCCACCCGAGCGAGGGGTATCCAGCCGGCCACCCGGGCGAGTGTTAAGAGCGAAATTTGGCCTTATTTTACGTGCGATATTAGATCTTATGTTAGACTCCAGCGGTGACACGATGAGGCTAGAAGGTGATGCCGATATTTCACATCCCGGCAAATTGTTCAACCAATTAACATGTGACACGTACACATTCGTACATACGCATCGTATAAGCCTTTTTATTGTAGGGAGTAAAGCATTTATTTAATTAATCCTAAGCCATCGCTGCAGTGATAAAAGGCCAACTCTCCCAATTAAGTCGACTTGTTTAACTCAGCCAGTCACCGTGTCTGAACGCATATATCTTGTAGGCCACTGAAACCAAATGCACACTTGCAAAAAGGAAATTAAAATTGTGGAAATTTAAACCTGGCATAATGTGTGAGGTCACTTATGACGTTGAGGTCATTACAAAGACATTTTAAAGACAATGCTATCTAGAAAATTGCGGCGATCGCTGTGTTTTCTTTCCCACTTGCCTTTCGGCGCTGTCCCCCGTCATTACCGTATTCTCACCCTGTTCCCATGAAGCCGCCAGGCACCTCCGCGCCCATCGGTTCCGCGGCCACTCCCCCTCAATCTTCGCCGCACCAGGGCCGGGCCGCTGTCGTTCGGCGCCAGCGGCCAATGGGCCATGTTTCTTTCATGGGAGCCGGGCTGACGCGAATGACTCCTCAGCCGGCGCCCGACCTGGCGGCCCGGCTGACCGATATGGTGTCATCGTCGTGTGTCCCTAACTAGCGGATGCACATCCAATTACGGGCCTCGGCGGGCGGGCCACCGGCCGTGGCTCCTCCGTCACCTCAGCCCCCTCCCCTTCCCCTCCCCTGCGCAACGCTGGGCACAACACCCACTCCTTGGGAATGTACGCTCAGAAGCCCCGGGCACAACGCACAGCTCAGCTCAACCAACTAGGTGACTTTTATGAGTGATCCAAGGATCGCCGCCCTGACAGGTGGAGTAAAGTAATAAAATGCTTTCCTTTCCCTATTGCCCAACGCAAATGATCAACCGTTATTCAGTGTTAGTTCTCCAGAAACATTTATGACGTCTAACTGGCCTTAGTTCCCCCTTTCCTTCACTTAGCGCCCTTAGTTCCTCTTAGTTCCACTTCCCAACATGTGCGGCGAGCCTAGTTCTATCTCGGGGCAGCCGCCCTGGCCACTGTCGCCCTAAAGTGGCCAGTTTCTATGCTGCCGACCGACACGTGCGACGACAGTGTTGATCGTAACGCACGCGGCAGCGCACCAGTCGAGAGGGACGCCGTGCGACGGCAGTGTTGGTCTAACGCGCGCGGCAGTTGCACCAGTCGAGTGCATGTGCGATGACAGTGGTTGGTCGTAACGCGCGCTGGGAGCAGCGCACCAGTCGAGGGGACATGTGCGAGGACAGAATGTTGGTTGTAAACCGCGGCAGCGCACCAGTCCGAGGACCATGCGCCGGCGTAAATGATAAAGCACCCGCACGGCTGCAAGCGAATATAGGGCTGGGCCATGGGCTTTCACGGAATAACAGTGTTTAAGGCGTATGGCGAGCGCCGGCCCGCAGCGGCATTGGCATGCGCGGCGTTCGGGGCAGCGCTGGTGGGTTCCATCGGGCCGTCGAGGTTCGCTGGCTTGGAGAATCTACAACACCAGCTGCGGGGAGCCGCCCTCCCAGGAGCGCGACACGAGACAACTACGAGACACACGCCGGTAGACGACACGATCGATCCCCGGGTCCTACATGCTCCGTGCGCTCACAGAAATGTTAATGAATCTTCAAGTAGTGCAGTTACATGGACGGTCTGCCCGACGTGTCAGACGTGACCTGCAAAATCACATCAAAAGTGTGATATGGGACAAGTGGTATATTATGTGTCGGTCTGGTGCTATGTAAACCGACTATCTCTAGCAAAGCTTGGTAGTAGAATTCCTAGCAAGATGGTTCATATGGAATGTTTTCCCATCTTTTGCTTG